TAATCAACTTGGCAGTGGGAGAGAGATTTATCTCCAGCACCTGCTTAATATTAATATTAACCCAGAGCTATCTTACTGGCCATGAGACAAACAAAATACAGACTTAAAATATGTATGGGTCTGATCTAGCAGATCTATACTTCCTTTCTACATTTATTACATTTGCATAGACACCTTTGCTTTTAAGTAGTGTTCACATATTATTTCAGGAAGTATTTTGATTGAGGCATTCATTCAAGAGAAAGGAGAATATCTCTTTTGCAACAGATTCTGCAGACATTTGCCTTATTTAGCATTAAGAAACCTTTTGTCAGTTTAACTAATAAATCCACACTGGAATCTGGAGTTACAAAATATACTGTAATCTCCATTGGCTTTATTTCTGGAGAGGCTAAAATCAGCCAATGTCTAAGTTCTTCACTAAAGGCAACTTATTGGTTTGCTTGGTCTTTGTGTCAGTGTTGACTCCTGGGGACTGCCTGGAATACACCCAGCAGTTTTCTTGGCAAGAGTTTGAAAGTGATTTGTCATTGCCTTCTTTGTAGGGTTGAGAGAGAGGGACTGGCCCAACCTCACCTAGCTAATGTGGTGCCAATTTCTAGCTTGGTGCCTATTAGGCCATTAGATCAGTGGTTTTCAACCTGTGGTCTCTAGGGGGGCTATGACATCATCACAGGGGGTCCGCAAAGGCTTGAAGAAATGTTATGATTAACTACAGTGCGAATTGCATTCGCTCAACATTGGAAAAATGAAGATTTACCAACGGAGGGTTAATTAAAAAAATTAGATTGTGCAGAAATGGATAGATTGATATTGAAAATGAAAGAGAAAGAAGATTCAGTATACTTTAGAACATGGGATACCTTTTATCAATGGCTAGAAAAATGAGGTAGAGAGAAAGGAATTTAACATGTATTAGTAAGTTAAATGTTGGAACCCAGACAATATGTTGCTGATAAAATATTAAGCATTTGTGATTATAAAAAATTATATATATATAACTCGACTGGCTTTTGCAGCAAAGCCGGAACTATTGGATTAAATGTGAGCAAGTGTGTTGTGAGCATGCTATATATGCGTTCTATGTCTTGACCATTAAAAACAGTCACACAAGCACACATGTAGGTTCTCCTTTATTCTCAGCCCTTATTCTGATGATGTCAACAGCTAGTTGATGAAAACTCAGTAATAAAAGGCTATTCTACATCCCGGAGTTCATTATTTTTATTGATTCTTAAGAAACATGTCTACACCTGGGATTCATATATTCAGATTATATATATATATGTGTGTGTGTGTGTGTGTGTGTGTATGTATATAAAATGTTATGATTTAAATCTTGAGTTAGGTCTTGGAGGTAAGTGGTCACAAAAAGTATTTAAAAGGGGTCTGTGGTGAAGAAAAGCTTGAGAACTACTGCATTACACTATAGTGGCTCTTTAAATGAATTTTCTGCTCTCTGTATACAGGAAATAATTATAACTGAGTACCATGCTGGCATCACTCTACAGTTTACTTTTTTTTCATTATCACATTTACAAATCTTATCTTGGCAGACAAAAGAAGTGTTACATTTTAAGACTATGACAGACTAGAGAGAGAGAGAGCCAGTTTGGTCTGGTGGTTAAAGCACTGGGCTACAAAAGCAGGAGACCAGGAGTTCAAGTCCCGCCTTAGGCATGAAAGCCAGCTGAGTGATTTTGGGCCAGTCTCTCTCTCTCTCTCAGCTTACCTCACCTCACTGGGTTGTTGTTGTGGGGAAATAGGAGGAGGAAGGGTGTGTTGGATATGTTTACCACCTTGAGTTATTTGTAAAAATAATGAAGGCAGGATACAAATAAATAAGTCTCCTTGAAATAGAATAGAATACAGTATAATTTTGCCATATAATTTTGTTTAATAAATAATAAATACAGGCATCATTCTAGCCCAGTTTTCTTTTGCCATATAATTTTGTTTAATAAAATAATAAATAAATATTCTGGGAGATACTGACATCATTGAAGCCCAGTTTTCTTTCAGACCCATAACATGTCAATATATGTAAATGGATGTGAAGGATAATTCAAACTCAAAAATTAATCAATTTTTTTCCACTGAAAGGCAGACCTATTCCATAAGAATACTGAGCACACATACACTATTCTTCCTAATAATACATTAAGTACAATTTGCTAAAGGAAACACTATCCTTGGTAAACTTGGTAAGCAGATGACTAAAAAGTAATTCAGTCTTTGTGATGATACTTACAACTTTCCCTCCAGATTTGGCTTCAGAAATACTCATTGTGAATGCTTTGGTCCCTTTGTCATATGTACAATAATGTTTTGTCCAAGCAAATCCTAGCGGTCCTAAAAAGAAGAAAAAAAAAATAAGTGTTTTTTTTTTTGCAGATCACTAGAACAAAAAATTCATAACAAAGAAATATTTTATGATAAAATTTATACTATAGTAATATAGAATAAAGTAATTGTTATTAAAATATTGTAGACGACACACTGACGATGTTACTTAGTTGGGTAGTGAAACGTCTGCAAGAAAACCATCAAGCTCAGAGAGGCACCAAGGGTCCCATATGACTCTGGGAAGCGTACAAAATTAAAAACAAAGGTTGAAAAAAAAAAAAGGAAAATGCCCATCCCTCTGTCTTTTCATGGGAGATATATTAAATTAAAAGATGTTTTAGGTGCTTTCCCAAAATTAGCACTGGGTATTTTGAGATACATGGGGAAACCCAGTCTATTTTAATCACCCATCTCAAAATTACCACACAAAAATAATAAATAAATAAGTAAGTTGGTCTGCCACATAGGAGGACAAACACACATTCCCATTCACTCTGCATAGCCCGAACCAAGATGGTCACAGAACAATTTGTGCTTTTACTGTAAATCTGAGACCAAGATTACATTTGGGTCATCTTTTTCCCTTAGCCTAAACAAATGAGCAAATAATTTCCTCCACTACGACAGTGTGTCATCTTGGCCTTTTGCTGCTTAATGAAGCACTGAGTGTGCCTGGCATTTTCCTATGTCCTTGCTCTCCTCTTAATAATGTCCAAGGTAATTTCCGCTTAAAAGAGACCTCTAGAGTGGCAGTTGCCTTTTATTATTATTAGTTAATTAAAGGATAGAAAAAAAAGAAGCTCAGAGCAAACTGATGCTGCTCTGAAGCAGGCAAAGCTGCCTTGGAAAATCATTGTGAAGGAAAGACCAATTTTTTTGTTACTTAGAAGCTGTTTAATAGGAGGAAATGGCAAAACATCTCAGTAAGACAACCATAATCTCAAGCTACTTGGTCCTTGGAGATTTGTTTTTAGGCAATTGAGCATCTCCATTCCAGAGCCAGCAATTGAACAGTCACCTTCAAGTGGTCACACAATACTGAGAAACAAATCAAATGAATATATCTGATAGACATCCACGGAACAACCATGTTCTTGCTCTTATTATGTGATACAAGGATGACAACTCCTTGGGAATCTAAGAAAAACTTCTGCCATTTGATGACTTCTTGAAATGTGCAACAATCTTACTTACTACAAAATCTCCTGTTACTTGGTTACTTCTCTCTAATGGTTTACAATACAGATCAGTTCTAGCATTTGGTCTTTCTACCTCAATGTGCAGGTGCCTTATCTTTCTAATAAAATCTGAATTATACTAAAATATGTATATCCAATAGTAAAACAGTAAAACTCTCAACAAAAGGCCTTATACAGTGCAATGATGTGGGCTGATAATAGCAATAGGTATAATAATACCACAGAAGAAAGCAAAGGTAGTACCAATAGCAATAGGCATGTTGGGTCCCAAAACAACTGGAATTTGAACACCATTGCCATTGACAAATTCACTATCAGTCAATTACAAAAGGCAGTTTTACTCAAGAAAAGCTTATGTCCTGCTATAACAGGGGTCCCCAACCTCTGGGCCATGGCCCACTAGTAGGCCATGAGGGGTTTACAAACAGGCTGCAGAAACGGTGGGGGAGCGTACGCGTGGATCCACATCCCCAGTTGTGCAAGCAGAAGGTGAGCATGTGCACGTGCGCTCCATTTGAGAGAGCAGTGGGTGTGCGTGCATGATGCTCGTGCAAATGGAGCTGCGCGTGCATGCTTGCTGGCCACTCAGGTGGAACCATCCTCTCTCCCCCCTCCCCCGCCAGTCCGCAAAGCGGGAAAGATTGGAACTCTGTGCTATGATATCTCTAACACCATAAAACATCAGCATCTGCCTATCCCAGGTCCTTGGGAAAGACTTAATAGGTGGGTTAAAATGCCAAAACCAGTCTGAACCTCTGGCTGAATCAATCAATAGAAAAGAATACAGCTAGTCCTCAACTTACAATCATTGTTTAGTGCTTGTTAGAAGTTATAATGGCACTGAAAAAAAATGTCCCCATGACAGTCACACTATTTATCTAGTCATGTGATCAAAATTTGGGTGCTTGGCAACTGGCTTGTATTTATGACAGTTCCAGCATCCTGGAATAATGTGATCACCATTTGCAATCTTCTCAGCTGGTTTCTGACAAGGGGAAGTTGGGTTTACATAACAACTGCGTGATTCACCTAACAACTGCAGTGATTCAATTAACAACCGGAGAAAAAAGGTCATAAAATTGAGTACAACTCACTTAACAACTGCCTGGCTTAGCAATAGAAATTCTGGTTCCAATTGTGGTTGTAAATTGAGGACTACTGTACCAGTACATATACAGTAGTGGCCAAAATTGTGGAAACCTTTTGGGAAAAGGTTTGATGGCTAATAACACTACTTTTATTTTAGTAGTACCATAAAATTATATATCAATGGAAAGATAATTTAATCAAGAATGTAATGCAACACAGTTTGTTCAATTATCTGTACTGTATTCTATGAAACGTTATAGCCAAATAACCAGAAAAAGGAATCACAACTTGCTCAGGTTGATATCAGGTAGCTTTCCTTCATCTGATTGTAGCCAATGAGCATAAGTGTTTAGGGAGCCAATCAGGTGTCATCTTGTTTTGGCAATGAGCCAGTCAGATCACAGTAGGATTCAGTTATTGATGTTATGTATTGAAGCTGATAGGAGGACATTTGTCAGTGTGTTATGTGATCGCTATCAAGTTGGTTGGGTTTTTTTATGTTCTTTCATTTAGTGAGCTTGTAAAACATAATAAAATTAAAGTAATGGTGCAAAGAGTTGACTGGTTGTCCAGAAAGCGATGTAAAATAGTATTATTAAGTGAACAAGGCTACAGTTATAAAAAAAATTAGAAGAAAAATTGGTGGAAACTTAACCAAAGGTGGCATTTCTACTGTACACTTTTCCCAAAAAGTTTCCACAATTTTGGCCACTACTGTAATGGGTATTTAGCTCTATGACATATTAACCTGTGGTCAACTTATAAATATATGGTGTGGCCTATTGACTACTCACGTTTCTCTTGTATGTAGAGGTAGCCTTCCATAGTCCATTGGCTGGGTGGCCTGTAATCCTGGCTGGCAGACTTCATTCTCTGCATAAGTCGTTCCACTTCCTGACGGGTGCTTTCAAAATTATTCCTGGTCTAAGCAATAAGGCAGAGAAAAAGAAAAAGGATGATCTTGAGTTATATGCATTCTGTTCCAAATGTGATCTAGCACAATTAGTAGTTTACTTCTGCATAGGTCACTGCTCCATTTCTATCTAAAATTTCTAAGGCAGAACTATAAGCTTACTCCAATGTTTCTGAATGTATGAAGCATCCAAATGAATATTTTTTTTCCTTACATCCTTCTACATCCCAACCAAACGTATCGTATCATAATATGGTCTTTTCATATTATCTTTTAGTTCTCTCTCTTTCTCTGGCAAACATTCAAACATACAACCTACTGCTTGCAACTATAAGCATTACAGCCCAAGCAAAGTCTACAGCTTTTCAACATTTTCCAATTATTTTATGGTTTTTCACATAAAACTTCTTCATGACCTTCATGCACACATTAAAAACAAATGACACAGCATAAGTGTCTTCAAGGGCCATTAATGAAATATATACAGGTAGTCCTTGACTTATGACCACAATTGAGCCCAAAATTTATCTTGTTAAGAGACACATTTGTTAAGTGAGTTTTGCCCCATTTTACAACCTTTCTTGCCATAGTTGTTAAGTGATTCACTCTAGTTAAGTTAGTAACACGGCTGTTAAGTGAATCTGGTTTCCCCATTGACTTTATTAGTCAGAAGGTTGCAAAAGATGATCACATGACCTTGGGACACTGCGGCCGTCATAAAAATGAGACAATTGCCAAGCGTCTCACTTTTTATCATGTGACCATGGTTGTAAGTGTGAAAAAGAGTCATAAATCACTTTTTTCAGTGCTGTTGTAACTTCAAATGGTCACTAAATGAACTGTTGTAAGTCGAGGATTACTTGCATTTAATAGAACTATTCTGCCTGTCTACAGAATCTAATATATTAATGTATTTGCCTTCATAACTCCTCCGAGTACAAAAAAGGCTATTAATAAGCAAACTATATATCTGAAGAGAACGCCAGTATTGTATATTAATATACAATTAGCTAGTATAGGAGTATTGCAGGTCTCCATTAGTAATTGTGATGAAAAACCAAATTGCAACTATATTTTTCTCAAGTACAGACATAGAATCTCTGCTCTGCTAATAAAGTAAGAAGACTTCAAGGCAACAGCATTATCACATTCATGTAAAATGGCCTTGGAGGATATTTATTATTTTTAGCCAAGCACCAAATCAGCAAAAAAAGAAATCCAGGAATTAAGAGTTTTTCCTCCCCCTTTCAACTTACTGTTGAAGATGACATCTTTAACAATAAGCACAGGTGCTTTTAACAAGGTCAACAATTGGCACTGAATCATTGTGAAATGTAACCAGAGTTGTGGGATCGGACTAATCTAACAATGACCTGTAAATTTCCTTGGTGCTTTTTGCTAAAATGCACACTCCCTTTGCACTTTCAAAATATAAAGTTAGAGCAACAGTGACCTCTGGTGCTTTTAAAACCAACAGTTTAGATATGATCTTACTACACACTTTCCTTTTGCTCGGCTGTGGTCAAGTTTTATAATTCTATTGAGGGAACATAAATGTGCAACAGTAAATATGAAATTTTTGCTTCTTCAGTTTTGAATTGTTGACATTTTGAGGTTTGTATGAGGCTCACTGTTTTCCTTTTCTTGGTTCTTCTTACTCTCTCTTCAGAGATCAAGAAACTTCTATTTATCTGTTTTCTCCTTCTAGGCAGCAATTTGGATTTGCCCCAAAGGCAAGACAGATGACAGCCCAAGAGTTAAAAGTATTTTGAGGACTGACATCCACAATTGACTTACTTCATTCTCTTCAATCATTGCCCTCTATATTAATAAGCTGTTCAGCATGAAGCATATTTTCAGACTAACTCATCCTAATATTTTTGTTAGTTCTTTTTATTGGACCACTTACACATTCCAGTTATCTGGGATTAAGATGGGAGGGGGGAAACTACATTAGAATGTAGAACTGAATATAAAATGCATCTTGTGACATATTCACTCCTGTTTATTGAGATTATGTTTCTAGATGTCATGATGTCTATTTAAACTTGCTATACTCAATGTGGGGTCCATGGATTCCAATGCACTCAAAGATCCCACACTTGAAATTCATAAGGATCCTATCCAGTGGTGGGATTCAAATATGTGAACAACTGGTTCTCTGTGTGGATGCCGCTTCTGGAAGTCCATTCTGGGCCTGGGCAACAAAAAATTAGCTAACGATTCTGCCGAAATGGTGCAAACCGGCTGAATTCCACCACTGATCCTATCCCACATGACGTTTTATAGAACTCTCATAAAAATAGAAAGTTGGCATGCTGCAGAACAAAATTCCGCTCTCAGCATTTTTATTTTCAGAATGCATCTGGACTTCCAACAGGCCAGTAAGAAAAAGGAAAATAAAAACAAAGAATGATCAAAGCATATGCTCTGCTTTGAAGTGTGTCCACTTGTGGAGAAAAACAATAAAAGGTAACGATGGCCAGGAAGGTGGGTGGCAGATAACATTCCAGTAAAGCAGTGCTTTTTAGCTGCGTATAACCACATTACATGTAGTCCTCGACTTACAACAATTCATTTAGTGATTGCTTGAAGTTATAATGGCATTGAAAAAAGTGAGTTATGATAGTTTTTCACACTTATGACTGTTGCAGCATCCCTATGGTCACATGATCAAAATTCAGACACTTGGCAACTGACTCATATTTATGACGGTTGTCATGTCCTGGGGTCATGTGATCACCTTTTGGAACCTTCTGACAAGTCAATGGGGAAGCCAGATTCACTTAACAACTGTCTTACTAATTAACAATGCAATGATTCACTTAACAACTGTGGCAAGAAAGGTTGTAAAATGGGGCAAAGCTCACTTAACAACTGTCTCACTTAACAATGGAAATTTTGGGCTCAATTGTGATCGTAAGTCGAGGACCACCATGTACTTCCATGTTGTAAAGGAACTCAGCATAGTCTCAAAATTCTAACTAGCCTGCCTCCATATCCTTAACAAAAAGAAATCAAATTAGAGATATGTGTACTGAACCATTAAAAAATTAAATTTTTATTTTATCGAATTTTGAAATTGCCCATCTCTCTCAGAGAGGAAAAGGGAACCAACGCCTTTCTAGCTGGCCTTCTTGGGAAGGTTTGATGAAAACAGTAATTCAGTACCTGGAAGGGTATTGAATCTTCTCTTAGTACATTTTGAACTAAGGCAGGGGTAGGCAACCTTGGCTCTTTTATGACTCGTGGACTTCAACTCCCAGAATTCCTCAGCCAGCATGGCTCAGCTTGGAAACCTCTCCCTTTCCCCTCAGCATGGCTGGCTCAGGAATTCTGGGAATTGAAGTCCACGAGTCATAAAAGAGCCAAGGTTGCCTACCCCTGAACTAAGGTATAATTCAAAATGTACAAAGTAGCAGTAGCAATAGCAATAGACCTGAAATGTCTCTACCTTGGAATTATAATTTATATAATTGATGATTTTTAATGTTTTTGTTTTATATTGTAAGCTGCCCAGAGTCACGAGATGGGAGACAAATAAATTTCATAATAAATCAATAAATGTAATAAGCAATGCAGGAAAGATTGTGCATTTATGCCTGAAATTATTCATTTTATTTTCTGGAGGTTTCAAAATTGTAACTGAATTGGGGATTCATCATAAAGGCATTCAATTATTCAAAAAAAATGGTAGTAAATGAAATTTAGTCTTACATTCTGCAAATTGAACTGCAGCTGTTGCTTGTAAGGTGCAAATTCCTGGGCCAATTCATATCCCTCATGGTAAAATGTAAATAATCCCTGAAGAAAAGCCAAAAGCTGAAAAAAAGAGAAAAACAAGAATAGAATCAAAACTCAAATGAAGCATTTAAAATTCATTTTATCCATTGTGTAACTGACAATGTCTGTGAAGATATTAAGAGGGCAAAATGTTAAAACAAAACAGGGTTTCTTTCTTTGGCTTTTTCAAAGAAGAATTGAGACTTTGACGCATCATTCTAAGCATAGTTTGTTAGCCCATCTTAGAAGCTGGCTGCTAGCACAAAGAGGCAGTGAGCACAAATCTTCTGGTTTGTAGCTATGCCTCTTTTAAAGTCAGAAATCAGGAGGTAGGCCAACAGGGATTTCCAACCTTGGCTACTTTAAGACTTGTGACCTTCAACTCCCAGAATTTCCCAGCTAGCAAGTTGTCAAGGTTGGATACCCCTACTACAGGGCAAGGATAGGAATAGAAGGCTGACTGGTCCTAAGGAATGAGGAGGTAAGTCGGAAAAGAACATGAAAGGTAAATAGGGAGAGATAAAAGAAGAGAAAGAGACCCAAAGATAAAAGCTCGAGTTGTATCTTATTCAAAATAATTATGTAATAACAAATTGAGTCTGAATATTCACCATAACTGCAGAGATCATGCAGCATTGACTAAGATATTTTAGGTCTTCTGCTAACAGCAGATACTTCACAGACCTGTCTCAGAGTGACAGCTTGATAGCTAAAACTTAGCACATAGGTTTACACATGTGGTGGGAGATAAAGGAACAATCAATTGCACTGTCTCCATTCCAGGTTGCAGCAAAAGGCTGAGTTTTAGGAAGAATGTCCAAAGTAAGATCAAAGTTAAGACCAGCTTCCAATTAATCAGAGGATCATTCTTTAAGCAGTGAGCAAAGCTTTTATCAAAAGCATTATTAAGGCTTGTTAATACTGCTAATTTCAGAGCCAAGGTTGAAGGTTTTTTTTTGCAAATGAATATAAGTTTCCTTGATTTTCCTGCTGTCCATCTTTTTTGTATACCTATCATGCTCCTTAGCTCAATATCAATGCAGTATTAAGGTGTCACTTCCATATGAGCAGGTTCAGATTATGTATTTGTTTTTAGATATCTCCTTAATCTTGGACAACTCCTGACACTAGATGGCAGTCACGGCAAATTGATTGCGAACTGCTACATCTCTTAAAAAGAATTTAAGTTTCAGAAAACCCTACTTTAAACACTTTTGTCAATGCATAAACTGCAGAAAAGTCATACAGTAGAATATGGGCACTCACTGACCAGATACATGCAGAGTCGCTACTAAACGAGAGGGGCAGCAAATAAATTTAATAAATAAATGTTAGTCTAGTTTAGTATTATAGAGCTGTACGAACTATCCAGCAAATTTTAGTGTAAAAAGTCTTGCATGAACTAATATAAATGGTTCTAAAGTGTCTCTGCAGATCTTCATCACTTTGACACTTGTCATTGTGAGGATTTCAGACATGGATCCTGACTCATCTCAAGCATGTCTACCTGAATTCATATATAGGTTGGAAAGTGGGTGAGTGGGCAGGGAGGAAATATCATTGTCACCAGTAAGCAGGAAGAAAAATTAACTTTCTAACTAGGTCCTATATGGTGTCCTTTGGTGATGAAGTATTGTCTGGATTCCCAGGAGAGAGGAAATGCATTCCAAAAGGAGCAAAAGTTAGCAGAGTTTAGAGAAAGAGAATTAAGACATCTCCTCCCTATTGGTTCCCAGAATATTTATTTTATGGTGCAAGTAATTGCTTTAGTTTGACTTCTGTCTATAGGCGAGGAACAATAAAGGAAACTGCTTAGAAGAGTCTCGAACCTTCTTGTTTTTTGGAGCCTGACACTCTTTAGACGAAGAGTTTCTCTGTATCTTGAGTAATGTCTACAAGGTTGAACAGTCTCCCAACTGTGGCAGCAAGACATTTTTCATTCCATTACTGCCAACCACAGGTGTCTTCAGGATCTAACATTTTCTCCAAAAGGAGAAAAACAGCGTCATGCCATCATTATGCAAGCTGTACCCCTTTCATGCATCAACACAAAACTGCCGTTGCCATCTTCCCCTTCCTTTCGCTGTGCTTCTCCCAACGAATGTCTAATTTTTGCCACTTTCCAGAATTCATTCATTCATTCTGTCTTTCTTTTTCTTTCTTTCTTTCTTTCTTTCCTTCCTTTCTTTCTCTTTTCTTTCTTCCTCCCTCCCTCCCTCCCTTTCAACAGCAAGAGGAAGCAAATGCAAAAATTGTGGGGGAAAAGACCAAGCAAGAAAGCAAGCAAAAGAGCATGAAGTCAGGTGCAGTTGGGCTAAAGAAAAGAGGGCATCCTGGGAGGGTCTTGCTCTGCCCCACTTTAGAAATGCAAGTAGAAAAAGCCATTTCTGGATGGGTGGGTGAGCCTGAGGAACCTCTCCAGGAGGATCATTCATTCATTCATCTTCTGCACTTGTGCCACCTGCTTCTTGGAAGGTAATTTTGCTTGTTCAAAAATTACCCTGCAGTCAAGATAATTTAATAAGTATCTGTGTGTAAAATGTGGTTGGGATTAACTGTTTTAAATCTGATATCGGTAATTAAAAGCTAATTTTCAACCTGCAGGATTTTAATCACACTATTCAGATCTTAAAACTGAATGACAGTAAGTTTGCAAGTTTCTCCCATTTCCTTCCAGACCTACCAAAAAATCAAAATCCTTTTTTTTTCTATTTTTGATCCAAATAGTGACTAATATAAATTCCCAGTTCAGATGCAATATTTATCAAACTGGTTTATTGCAATAACCCATAGTTAAGGCAGCCAGGTTTAGAAATAATATTGAAGTTACTGTAAATGAAATCAAGAAGCAAAACCTTTGGATCTCCTTAGGCCAGTGATGGCGATCCTTTTAGAGACCAAGTGCCCCAAAACCATCCCGCTCCGCCTCCCACCCTGCCTGCTCCGGCCCCGCCCACCCCACCTCGCCCACCTGGCTACGCACCGCCTCCATGATCTGCTGCAGCAGATCGCCCAGGCAGCCCTGCAGCACCATGGAAGCCACACCCTCTGCCCACTCCCCGCAGCATCATCTGCACGCTATGGGGCGCGAGGGCAGAGTCTTGTTCCTGCTGCCTGGCTATGTCCTTAGCTGCGCTGCTCTGTGTAGGCCGTGCCCGGGGGTGACTGTCCTCCAGGGGGGCTGCTGGTGAGGAGGGGGCCATGGGCGGAAGTGGGGCTGGGCCAATGGCGCACGTGCCCACAGAGAGGGCTCCGAGTGCCGCCTCTGGCACGTGTGCCATAGGTTCGCCACCACTGCCTTAGGCTATCCTAGTTAACATTTATTCCAATTTGAATTCAGCCACTAAGTTGGTTTTCATGGGATCTATCTGAATGTCAGACTGCAACCTCTTTTGTGGTTTTCATGAATACACAGTAGCCAGATTAAATCTATTTGTTGTTTGTATGTTCGTGTTACTTAAAGTAGATAATTTTAATGTTCACTTTAATTTATCATAATTATATATATGACTGAACTATCCTTGTTTCTAGATTCTTTAAGTGAATAAAAGCAATGAAAACAGATTTTAAAACGCTAAAACAGTTAAGTCAACAGATAATCTATGCATTTAAAAACTTTTATAAAAGCCACAAAGTATGTTACTACTTCAACTAAAGAAATGAAGTCTTTAAGTTGAATTCATAGATATACACTGCCTACTTAGTTTTCTTGGCAACAACATAGAAATGGCTTGTTATTTGCCTCTTCTGGGATATCCCTTCAATTTGCCAGAGTAGTTTACAACCCATGTATTTTTGAAGCTCTCCCATCCAAGCCCTAACCAGGAAAGAAAGTACTCAGCCTTCAAGTCTAAACAAGATCAACTAGATCAGGCATGTCAAACTTGCGACATCACATGAAGTCACGCGACGTATCACAACTTTTTCCCCATTGTCGGTAATCAGGTGGGCACGGTTTTGGCGTGACACATCTGGCCCACGGGCCAGCAGTTTGATATGCCTGAACTAGATAGTGTCACCTTAGAGATCTTATAGGGAACACATTCTAAAACCTTGGGATAATCATAGAAAACTTGAGTCAATGTCTGATGAGTCATCAGCAGGTTGCTAAGTTAGCTTCTAAGAAATTTAGGTCCTTAAAAGCAATCGTCATCATTTTTTTGTCTAGAGATATACCAAGAGTGGAATAACTTTTACTATATGAGCAATATGAAGATTAACCTAGTTGCCAAATTTTAAACCAGTTGCCACATTTAACATTAGCCCAGAGATTTACTGCAGAAGTTGAGCCTATAAATTAACAACCCGTGTAAATCTGATTAATTTATTTTAGAAACAGATGCTCCTGTAAGAGTGCTCCTATACTTGTTTCTCTTTATTACAACTTGACCTTGAAGTATTCAGAAAATAGTTGCAACTTGTTTGCAACTTATCAAATTTCACTTCAGTCATGCTTTAGTCTTCCACCTCAACTTATTGCCCGTCTTTGTTCTGTTCCTGTATATACCATTATTCAGACCTTTAAAGCAGGAAATACAGACCCTCCTACTCTTATTGCATTTGCCCAAGAGATGCTTACTATATGTTTTCAGTTTCTTTAGGCTGCCTGAGCAGTTTCCAAGCTTTTATTCTGTGGTAAGATGGGCAGCCAATTCAGTTAATAAATAAATACATATTCACATTTCATCTCCATTCTCTCTGCCTTCAGTGCCTTCTTCAAATTTTTGCTGTATTTTTAGGGCTTTCTTCAAAAATGCACAAAATGTGGCAAAAATTACCCCTCTGGTAAGTACCTGGAGTATTTGAGAGAAATATTGCTGACTTATGCACCACTTGCCTTTATAAAATTAATCATTTGTTTTACAGGTGGGCAATATTTTGGGAACAAGCCTTTAAAGTTGCAGATCCCTGAGCATCAATAAAGCAACATTTCAATGGTTATGTATGAGTCTTATGGAGTCATTAAAAAAAATCAATTCTTATGGCCTCCATATTGAAGGAGTAGACCTTCCTTCTTTTTGCTTCTACGATCCAATGCT